AGCATAACTAAGGGAGGATTCAGGGTCACCTGGTCCAGCCCTAACTATATGCTTTAGCAAAAAGGAAAGTTTGAAGCCTAATCTTAAAAGTAAAGATAAACAAACAAACATGAATTTAATTCCACACAATCACACAAAGATAAACAAAGCTTGACTTTATTTAGCAGAATCGTGGCCTTATGTGTGCATGCTACGGAAGATTTACAATGATCTCAAAATTACATAGAAAAAAAAGACAAGGCTGTGGTTAATATTGCATTAATATACAACCTGCAGACTCGACAGAACAACCCAACAACTCAACATTTCAAGCTAGTCTTTAGTGACATGTGAGAGTGATTTATCTGTGCAGCAGTGATTTTATTTTCAGTGCGATTAAAACTTTCATACATTCATTTACAGTTAATTCTATATTATAGTGTTTTGAACAAAGAGTGAGAAGAGGACTAAGAAGCCACACATGAAAGCAGCGTCAGGTAGATTTGATCTGCTAAGCTAACTGTGGAGATACACATCTGTTCTGTGGATTTAACGAGTTCAACTGCTTTTAGGAAAACCTCATCTTATTCCCTAATTTGCCAAAAACAATAAACAATGATGAGACCGTTATATTTTTGGAGATATTTCTCTCTTTGAGTTCTTGGAAAACATTTCAGTGCACAAGTAAGTCAGAGGCTTACAGGCCAGCAGCTGATGAGAGAAACCCTGAGTTAGCAGGATGAGAGTGCTGCGGCTAAAGCTGCTTTTACAATATTGACCAATTCTGTTCTTTATATTTCACAACTTTATTAATTTACTAAGTCATTAAAGTTTTGATATTGACAGAAGTATAAATGGCATATATGGAGCAGTGATGTGTAAATGATGAATGAATCACATGTTAATACCTTCATAAGGCTTAATAGTGTGACGTTATTATAAAGTGCTACCATGTCGACATTCGTAATAAAACTGTTCAGGGACAGCAGCACTAACACCGATGCTGTGATCACAACATGCCAGAAACTTGTTAAACATTCACATTTATTTTCCAACATAACAAACAGGATGTGGCTTCCCTGCTGACACTCGTCTCTTGTGACTGACACGACGCCACAGCTCTGTGCGCTGAGCTCAGGGTTCTGCGGTTTCTATTGGCTCCACCTGGGGCTCAGTGGGTGGGGTGGAGATGTCCTCTACCTGCTCTGAATCAGGTTCTGTCACAACTACGGCCACCTGCTGACACGAAGAGAGCAGTGCGGTGTCAGTGTGTGTATCAGCATGCTGTAGGTAATAAATGAGAAGGTCAAAGGGCACGAGGTGAATCAAATCTGGTGTGACGATCATAAATCGGATTCTTATTCCAGATCAGTAAAGGCACCGACAGCAGGCTGCAAACAAATCACACTTTTCTACTCTGAGCACTCAAAGTGTGTTTCATGCATGTGCATGTATAAGTATATATATGCACAAGTTCATGCAGCACCTTTAACCTGTGCACCGATTACAGGTGCCACCTTGTGTTACACGCAGGTGTTGTGTTACCTGAGTTGGCTCAGCAGCAGCTCGAGCAGACGGAACGGCCTGAGCAGTCTCCACAGCTGGGACAGGTGGGGGGCGAGTTTGTGGATAGACGGGTCCCTCACTGGGAGTCTGTGCGACACATAGATATGACATGTTGCTCTTTGAACAGGCCAACTTTAAACAGCTGATGTTTCATCCTGTTACTAAAGTCAACCAGATGTTACCACAAAGATTTCTCTGTGGTTTCACCTGCTGCAGCACGCGCACACATCTCTGTTGTGACTAGGGATGGGTATCGTTTAGGTTTTATCCGATACCGGTGCCAAACCGGTACTTTTGAAACGGTGCCGGTGCTTAAACGGTGCTCAAACCGGTGCTTAAAGAATG